CCTGCTGAAGAGGAGGAGTGAGAGAGCAGCTGGGTGGCCTTCTGGCAGCCAGTCAAGATCAAACACACCACACAAACAAACTGGTGTGAAAGATGACAGAGAAAATGTGAGAATGACTACAATAGTGGCCTAAGGAGTGATAACATCACTTCTCTGTGAAACAAAGTGAACTTCAACCCAAACCTACACACCAAGTCTATCCTGTCTCAGGATGGGAATTAAATCTCAGAGTTCTCAAGAGGTATGTCTTATTTTCTTTTTTTTTCTTTTTTTTTTTTTTTCCTCTTTCTTATTTGTTTTCTTCTGCTTTGGTGAATTCTCAGTACATCTTTCACACAGCTTGCAGATTGTTTTCTTGGCTTTGTCTCTCAAAGATTCTCTCTATGTCTGCACACAATGAGTAAGGAATAGCAGTTTGCTGAATGTGTTGAATTTTCCAAGCTTTTTCAGTGCTATAGCATCAACATTTCCCCCCCCCCTTCCTTTTTCTCTTTGCTTAGATGTACTTTTCAGTCTGGAAGTTTAAGCACTTCAACAACACATCTGTGATGGATGGGGTTCTAATGTAGGGATAGAAAAATGCAGGATAATTGTGAAGATAACCTGAGAGAAGACAAATCTAGACTGAATCTGTGAAAGTGGTGTTTTTGTGTCCATGTGTTTGTGTGTGAGTGTAATATGCAAGTAAGAACATAAAGTCCAAAAAGGAAAACTGAATTACAGAAAACGTCACTCTATATCTAGGACACTGTCACTCGGTGTCAGAACTGAGTCCCACACAGATTTCCAGAACTTATGAGGAGTGAGACACAAATTTGAAAAAGTGTTTGAAATTAGAATGCTTTTCTGAGTTATGTTTAAAATGCTTTCTATTTTTTGTGCTATTCAGTGTTTGAAAGAATGCCTCTGGTAAAACTAGGTCTTCTAGCGAAATACCAGTGTGCATTGCAGAGCTGAAGTGAATAGCCTGCAGAGGATTGCTGTAGAGCAAAAAAGGCTTTCCACTAGAAGAGATCGGAACATGCTTTGCTACTTTTTTGTGTGAAGTCGTACTCTTCAGCATGCAACTCCTGTTCCTACTTGGCTCCTTTGGTTGACATGAATTAAAACAGCTTCTGCCAGTCAGAAGAATATGTATGGGTCTATTTGAAAATGCTATTTTTACTGATAACTTTTTCTGTAACCTTCATTTTGAACAGTGATCTCCAGCTTGGGTGAAGAAAATGAGCAGACTATGTTGTTAGCATAGTATGTTTCAAAATTCCACCATGAACATTGGATCAAAAAATGACAGATAGTGTTTTAAATATCATTCAGAATCATGACATTTCTTTTCCAAAGGGAATTCTGTAACTTTGAAATGCATTTTGAATCTGATTCTGACATTTTATATAAAAGTAGGATTTCAGATCAAATCAAACTTTTGATTTTAAGAAAAAAATAAGATGTTTGGTTTAGAATTTGGCCTTCTAGTATAAAGTTTTCAAAAAGTAATTAGGAAGTAAAAAACTTGGAAAATGCTGAAACAAGATGTGTTTTACATTATCAGACAGCTTTCTTTCTATTTTTTTGTCAAGTCGATTTCTGTCAAAATTGGCAATTATTGAAAATTTCTAATTTTTATGGAGAACTTCTCTGTGTGTTTGTGTATCTAGCTCTGTAAGAGAGAGCTCTACTCAAAGCAGAAAGGCTGCTTAATTTTCAGAAATAGAAGACCAGCTGGGTTAAGTGGAGAGGCAGGAAGGACTTTATCTCCCTAAAGGAGAAGCTCTTGTGCTTGCTTCCTGTTTTCAAGCAGAATGACAATCTGCTGTTCATCAAGTTTATTCATGGAGGGAAGATTTTAGAAGTGGGTTACTTTTACAAGCTGGAA